CTAATATTACTAATCACAACAGTTCATTTTTGTTTTATTTACTGAATGATAATCTAATATATCTATCATTTCCTAGTTTCTCCGCCATTTTATACGGTCCTTTAAAAAACTGGTTTAAGCTTGTGAGCAGCGTTGCCGTATTACGCCTTAACGAATACGTACAAGTACGTTATACAATACAAACCCGGAAGAATAAATTCTAACGCTGACGGTCTATCACGACCACATCCTGATTCAAAAGAACACTCTGAATCCATATTCGACGCACACGAACCCAATAAAACGTATCAAGACTTCACGAAATTCCATTGCACAATCAGAGACATAATTGAAATCCCAAAAGAAGAGACACCTCTTCCAAAAGTAAAATGTACAATATTACTGTTATGATCTGAAGATTTTGATAAGGAAAATCCCTACTCAGATTACGTGACGGAGAACTTCGATGCAACCGAATTAACATCAAGCCCTAATGGGTTGTATAAATTGCAAAATAACAATCAAACTCTATTAATCCTATTTCCCAAAAATCTACACCACGACAAAATCCTTTCGTGACTTGTTTCAGAGTTTCACGAATCTCCAAGATGCAATAAAATCGAAGGATTTCATTCTAATTCTTCCAAAAAAAAAACACATGGTATCAAGCCTGAAATTTTTAACGAAATTGTTAAATTCTTTATTCCTTCTAACGATATCAAATACTTAAATATAAAGAAAATTGTTCTTAAAAACCGCGATGAAATACAAGTCATTCTTAAGGAATCCCACGATAGCAAATTAGCCGGACATTGTGGTTTCAATCGTACCTACTCTAGAATCAAAGAAAGATATCGCTGGTCTACAATGAAAAGTGACATTAGAAACTACATTAAGACATGTCATTCTTGCCAATTGAATAAAACAAACTTAAAACAACCTATGCATCACAACCACTGCGGAGAAACCATTTCAGAGGTCAGCTATCGACGTAGTGTAGGAGCTCTCCCTCTAGAGGAGTGTTCACAATGTTCACATTACCGTAATGGTCGATCCTCACAGAGCGTGCGATGCGATGCGATGCGCTGCGTTTCC